ATCTTTGAATTCAAGGCCAACCTGGTCTACAAGAGCTAGTTCCTGGACAAGCTCCAAAGCTATCGAGAAACCTTGTCTCAAAAAATCAAATAATAATAATAATAATAATAATAATAATAATAATAATAATACTCTGTTCTTATTTCAGCAGAGAATTTAGCAAAAATGAAAAATGTACAATCACATTGTACATTAATTTTGTATTAATAAAATCTTTCTAATGCTACATTTTTCATTTTTCTTCCATTTTAATTTCAGTCCTATTTCAGTTCTTCATCAGTTTATTTTTTATTAGCTTCATCTTCAATTTATTTAATTTTGTCATACTTTTTGTAACTTTTGAAACTTATTTTAAATCCTTCCTGAAATAGAAAGAAGCTATGAACCAAAAAAGAAATTCTGTATTCTAGTTAAAAGTCAGTTAATGTAATTGAAACTGAAATTGAAAGTGGAAGTATAATAAAATTCAAACCATGTAATCTACCTTGGTCTTACAAGAAAATAAACATGAAAATTATGTTAACTTGACCAAATATTGCAGGACTTATGTTTTAAATGAATTTACATTTATTCTAAGCCTATTTAATGTATGTTCATCATAATCATGAGAGAATGTGTGAGAAGCAAATTTCAAAAACTACAAATTATACCTCTGTCCTTATTTCAGCAGAGTATTTAGCAAAAATGAGAAATGTACAATCACATGCTTGGTTAGTGTGATAGTTTAAATATTGATTCCCATGATATCATAGGGAGTGGTACTATTAGAAGGTGTGACTTTGCTGGAGTAGGTATGGTCTTGTTGGAGAACATGTGTAACTGTGGAGGCAGGCTTTGAAGTCTCATATATGCTCTAGCCATGCTCAGGGAGTCAGTTCACTTTCTGTTGCCTACTTCTCCAGCACCATGTTGCATCATGATGTTAATTAAAACACTGAAACTGTAAGACACTCAAGTAAATGTTTTCATTAGTAAGAGTTTCTAAGATTATTGTATCTCCTTGGCAATACAAACTGTAACTGAGACAGTTAAGGTATACAGATTACTCTTGTAACCCTGTCTCAATGTGTTTGTCATTCCTGAGTTTCATTTGTTACAGAACACAGCTGTGATGAACATGAATAAATGGTCTTGATTGGCTTTTGGTTCAAAAGCTTTCTCCCAGTTCCACAGATTGGACAGTTCTCTGTGAGTTGCTCTGCTGGGTAAAGCTTTGGTGTGATGAATAAATGGAGTGGGGATTGGTCAATCACATCTCTTTCCTGAGTAAGAGTGAATTTGATGCAGGTAATATAAAAGTAATGGAAGCTATCTCCCAAAGCAAAGCAAAGCAAAGCAAAGAACATATCCCAATCTTAGTTTTTTGAAGGTGCAAGTAATTCTTTTTTTTTCTTCCTTAAAGCCAATTATGTTTCCCAAGGTTTAGTTAGTATATTTTCAGAAGGGAGCATGTCACATGATGTTGCCCACCGAGCTTCTCTGTGAATACCCAGACCTCGAAACAGGCGCGTGCTTTCCTGACTCGAGTTCACGAGAATGGACGACTGTCCTAAGGGTTTAAACACACAGACACAAAGAGACCTGCTCATTCACCAAAGAGCAAATGGCCACTTTATTAAACTCAAGTCGGGTATATATTGTAGTGGGCAAGAGGGCAAAAAGGCACGGCCCCCTCCCATCAGGAGCAGTGGAAGAAGATGATAGGTGCCCGGTGCCTCAGGCCAGAAGCTGCTGGGAGAGGCAGGCAGGGCAGGCGTATAGGGCCCCGGCTGGAACCTTGTTCACAGGTGGAATTACCATAACAAAAGAGAGCCAAGTTCTTTCTAAGCTATACCCTCAGGCCAGTGCAGAGCAGAGAGGCCAGGGAGCCAGAGGTCAAACAGCCCTGCAAATCGCCACAAAGAAAAGGGAAAAAGACCTGGGTACTTACAATATGAGGATATCTTGACAAAGTAATATACATTAAATAACACCTACCAATTCTAATTGAAGGATAAATTCTTTCCAGTTGGAAAAAGATTTGTTTTTTCAAAACCAAGAAAGTTCTTCAAATATATGACCCTCAACACACACACTTATAAAAATATGAAGTTAGTGCTTATCCTATCTAATGTCTCAATCCATCAGTCCTGTATAATCCTCAAATATATAAATCCTAAATAGTGATAACTGCATTAAGAAGATGTATTGTGTCAGAAATTATTAGAGCAATAGAAATCTGCTCTCATGAATGGGATTCATACATTAATGGAAGTGACCTCATTGAGATGCATACCCCCTTTCATCAACTTGAAAATACATTAACAAGTCCCTATGAACAAGTAAGCATGCTATTACTAAATTTATTAGGGTTACAAAATCAAGGCAACGGTATTACCAAAAAGCCCATTCAAGAATAGTTGATGACTTACAAAAAGCTACATACCTAGAACTCTCTGCCTAAATTTCATGCAGCTCCATATGAGTTTTCTCCCCAGCAATTGTTTATTGCTATTCTACCCTTTAGTTGGGGCTTTAGGCATCTTGTTACTTTCTTGACATCCTGAGATACCCAAGTTGTATTTACTTTCTGTGTCATTTGAATCTTTTTTCTCCCTCCAGAAGAAAATGTTTCAGTTTTACACACAACCAAGTTTAGGCAGTTGAACATGCATAATGAAAAGGCACATTCAAGTGATAATTTTGAAAAAACATTTTTTCACACCATATTAAACTCTCTTTTCAAAATTCATGACAACTGCTTCTTACCAGTAGGACAGCAAAAGCTATTCCTTTACTCTGTAATACTTTTTCATTACTGATGATAACTGTGAAAATTCACTCAAGTTTCTTATTTGTATAAAGAAAAAAACCAAAAAGTCTTATCCTCTCCAATAAGGGTTCTTCATATAACAGTTTTCTAATCCCTCACCATACTGTTGTTACATACTGATTATAACTTAGGGTTTATCATTCATGAAAGTCAAACAACATAGATATAATTGTACAGTTTCCTATACTCATACATATATTCTTTGTAACTTATTCAAGAAATATAAAAGTTCCAAATAATTTTAGCTCAAATGGCTCACATATCTACATTCCCCACCACAGTGGACATATGGAAGACATAAAATGTCTTTCCTGGAGTGAAGAAGGACACTTAAAAGAAATCCTACACTAACTCAGAATTGAGAAATAGGTGGTTATTTATTTAGGAATAAACTCACAAATCAGAATCCTCTAATGGAATGGAGATCAGAAAACGAAACCTGCAACCAGAATAGAGAGGTAGACGCAGACTCTGCAATAGCGTATATAGTATAAGAGGCCACAACTTAATGGGCGGGTAACCACTAGCTATAAGGCTTCCTATAGCACCTCGCCCTTTTGTCTAAATAAGAACGTTTTAGCCTAATAGAAAATTATATACAATAAGAACAAATATATTCAATAATTATCCTATTCTAAGTAGTTTAACTCTTTTATAGTAAATAACTTGGCCAAGTCATGATAGGAAAGTAACCACAACTATCTAGTCTTGAACCCCATGGAAGATCCAACAAGGGAAATAATATTACTAAAGTAAGCAGGAAGTGCAATCAAGCAACTTCCAAAATGTGCAACAAATGACAGAGACAACTGGCTACCTGGGCAATCACCCAAAGTATCATTTGCAACATCGAAGGAACCAACTTTGGCTAAGGATTAGAATAACTGACAGACCATTTCAAAGGCAGGAAAGTTTTCAAAACTGTCTAACACTTTCTTGGCAAGATTTCACAGTACTGCTTATCCATTTGCAGATACTATATATCTTGTCAGTGGTTGAGGCACAGCATTTCTTTGCCCAAAAGCTAGTTAGGCCAAGAGGAAAACAAGCTCCAAGTGGAGTGTCTTCTGTGCTCAACATTCTCTCAGTAATAGATCGGTGCTGCCAGGAGTAATCGTATCTCACTTCAACAGAACCCTAAGTTATTTAAATGCCATATTCTACATCTCTTTGAAGAGGTTGAAGATTACCTATCTACACAGAATATTATCTCTATGTATCTCTAGGACCTTATTAGTCTAACTATAAGTATAGCTCAACATAGATGAGATGACTATTGACCTAGAATTCTTAATACCTAAGTAACTCAAAGACTAAGACTTCATATTAGAATGTTATACAATAAACAATTGTGCAACAAATGAGAACAATAGCCTCAAATGTAAACAATGTATGAGTATCTTGATCAGAGGTAGAAATATACATTACAATATGATAAATATACATCAATATATAAAAATGCTTTAAGCAGAGATAGCATGCATGCATACAATATTTAATATAATTTAACTTTGTATCAATATACAAGAATTTATAGCAATATAATTGCCTATAAATAATCACTCACAAATATTTACTCTATTACTCTTTATTATTATTAGCGTGAGTAAACTCTTACTAACCTATTATCCCATCTAATATCCCTTTTTGTTTTCAAATTGTGTGGTATACCTGTAACATGCTTAATATTATAATAAGCAAAAAAACTTTTTCATTTTTCTAAAGACATAAGCTAATTATCTGTCTTTATTTGTGAAGGTATACCCACGATTGTCATAACTTCTAATAAATGTATTATTACTGAATCAGCTTTTCTGAGCTTAAAGCAGTTGCCCACTGAATACCTGAATAAGTTATCATGGTGTTGCATACATTTTCTAATTTTCCAAATTCTGCAAAGTGAAACACATCCATCTGCCATATTTCACTCTTTTGAGTACCTGTTGGATTAGTCCCTGCAGGTAGCTGTGTTTGGTTATAGAAACAGCAAGTAGGGCATCTCTTCATAATCTCCTTAGTTTGTTGCCATGTAATAGAAAGCTTTCTTTAAACCTTTGCTATTGACATGATACTTTTAATGAAATTTTGATGCCTATAATATGCATCCAATCAATAATTGATCAATTTCTGCATTACCTTGTGCTAGAGGACATGACAGACCGGTATGGGACCAGATGTGTGTTATGTATAGAAGACAAAGCCTATTCCTGTTTATGTCTTGTACCTGTAAAAACAATTAAGTCAATTTTGTGTCATTTGAATAAATTCAGCAGTTTTATTATGAAAGATAACTCTTTCTGCATATTGTGAATCAGTAACTATATTAAGAGATTCTTTAAAATCCCTTAGCACCATGAAAATAGCATATAATTCTGCCCTCTGGACATAATTATAAGGACTTTTTTCCACTTTACTTAATTCTTCTGATTTGTATCCTGCCTTCCCTATTTTGTTGGTATGAGTATAAAAGGTACAGTTATTGGAGCTTTCAGGGAAGAATCTAAGAAGTTTTCTTTATAAGGTTAAGTCTATTGATTTTGGAATAATTGCTATTAATTTCTCCCAAAAAATTAGCACAATCTCTTTGCAATGGTTTTTTGTCTTCCCATAACATTTTATTTCATCAGTAGTAAAAGGCACTATAATCTCTGCTGAGTCTATACCTGCTAGTTGACAAAGTCTCAATTTACATTTTATAATTAATTCAAAGACTTTTTTCACATAAGTTTTTAATTTTTTTACTTGGTTTATGTGGTAAACAGATCCATTCTAAGATAATATCCCTCTGCAAAAAAAAATCCTGTAGGAGAAATTCTGAAAGGCAATATGACTAGAATACAGTAAAGATTTGGATTCACCCTATCCACATGTGCCTCCTGTAATTTTTCCTCAACAATTGTTAATTCCCTTTCTGTTTCAGCTGTTAATTTTCTGGGACTATTCAAATTTTTATCACCATCTAAGGTTTTGTTTAAATGAATTATTAGTTCACATGTTATCCCAACAGCTGGTTGTAGACTGGAAATGTCTCCTAACAATATTTGAAAGTCATTAAGATTCCGCAACTGGTCTCCCCTAATCTGTGCATTTTGCATCATAGTTTTCTGCAAACTTATTTTATAGCCTAGATAATTGATAGAATCTGTTCTCTGTGTTTCTCAGAAACAATTTGTAATTTCCATTTCAGCAAAACTTTCTACTTCTTCAAACATTCTTTCTAATGTATCTATGTTCATATGTCATCCATGTAATGGTAATTTATAGACTTAGGAAATTGCTTACTTGTTATTTTGAATGGCAGAATTGGCACATTGTGAGGCTATCAAGCATTTCTTGTGGGAGGATTGTCCATTGATATTTCCTGGTAGGCTGAGAATTATTATAAGTAGGCGCTATGGGGCAAATTTTTCTCTATCCTTTTCTTGTAAATGTAGTGAGGAAACAATCTTTTAAATTAATTATTATAAAAGAGGCCATAATTTTGGTAATAGAGACAGCAGAGGAGTTCCAAATTTTAGAGGGCCCATTGGTTGAATTACCTTATTGACAGCTATTCATAAGAGCCCCAGGGAATGCAGCAGTCGCGTGAGTGCTTGGAAAATTTCCAAGTTGTCACACACAGTAAACTCTGCTGTGGTGGGGATTCTGCAAAAGAAAAAAAATAGATTAAAATGAGAAAAGTAGTCAGGGTTGGGAGAATGGCTGGGCCGTAGTATGGCTATGCCATTAGGCCATCCAACCGGTAGGTGTGGAGTCCGAATCCAAAAGTAGTCAAATGAGGAAATGCATAAAAGAAATCTCACACTAACTCAGAATTAAGAAACAGGTGGTTATTTATTTAGGGATAAACTCACAAATCAAAATACTCTGCTGGAATGAAGATCAGAAAATAAAATCTGCAACCGGAAGAGAGAGGCCAGAAAAGAGAGTGGATGCAGGCTGAATCAGCATATACAGTATAAGAGGCCGTTCCCCAGGATATAACCGCTAGCTGTAAGACTTCCTACAGCACTGGGGGAAGTGACAATTGTTTACAATGAAATTGTTCAACTTTAGAGAACTAAATGCATTTCATATTTTTAGTCATTGTCTTTCACTGTAAGTCTCTATTATCTGTAGGTTATATTATTTTGCTCAGAATATCAGTGGTATAGAGTACATAGTAGCAAATCAACAAAGTTCAAGAAATACTCAGGTTATATAAAACAGAACTTTTTCAGATTTCCCCTGAAGGATTAGTGAGAAAACAGAGCATTTTCCTTAATTTTGATTCAAACATGATTCCCATTAGATAGTTAACCAAATTATATCATTTGCTAAAAGTCAATAAATGCTAATTATATATATATATATATATATATCACATTGAATTTAATATATTATATATGATGTAAATAGTTATTATGTTATTCTGCTAGGGAATTATGACAAGAAAATCATGAAAAACCCAGGCATTTTCAAAGTAAAGTATTATTTTTAAAGTTATATATTGATAAGTTCCACCATTATTAACAGTTCTGTCCTGGTTCTTTTCACGTTATTACTTAGTTGTGTCATAATGACTTTAGTATTCCTATAAAAATTAAAACTCTAATTTTCTCACCTTTATTTTAATATAATTCATTTAAACTTTAATTTTCATTAAAATAGTAACTGGCACATCAGTAGATAGAAAATGTATGTGCATGTGTACAGAGACTTTTATTCCCCTAACTAGTCAAGACTTATTTTGTGGTAAAGTATGTCTATAAAAAACAGCAGCAATTGTTATTAAATCATTTGTGGCATTGAATTGAAAAAGCTTATTATTTATCTATTGAGAATAAATTTAACAAGCTGATTTGTAGGAATTTACATTTAATTTAAAGAGTTTCACCAAATCTTTATATATAAGATTTTCCTATATTTAAAGGAAGTTCTTTATATTTTACTTTGAGAAATTTTTTTCTCTTAAATAGTAACAAATTCCTTATTTACTTTGTTGATTTATCTGTAGATTTGGCTTCTTAAAATTATAATCATTCTTGTAAAGTTTGAAAACTTGTCTACTTGTGAATACTGAACTTATTACAAGGGGAGGTTCTGTATGCAAATTATGCTGTTATAATTTACAATGTAGAGATAAACATGAGACAATTTCAAAATCAGTGATGACAGCTTTTGTCAATATATATCTTGGAGTAACTAAATGTGGTCATATTAACAGAGAAGTATAGCTGTTTTTCATGAGAAACTATAAAAATTCTTTTTATTTAAAAAATTTGAGCCCTTCAGCGGGGTCATAGGATTCCCCCAACTCAGCCTGCTTTGGAGCTGAGGGTCTGGGGACAAAGTGGTGAGTGAAACTGTGCAAGAGTTACTTTGTTTCACTGAGTCTGCACACAGCCCTTTTGTCTGTGTGGTCCCTGGCCAGCAAGTGGCCCTGAACCTATACCAGAAGATCCATCAGAGAGTTAAGTGTGTTCCCGATCAGCCGGCGGATGCCCCGAAAAGGGAGCACAGACAACTTTCAAACCAAAACTTTCTGGTCATTCAGCAGGACTTCTCTCCTTGGCTACTGTCTCTCTCTTCCTATCCCATTCCAGCTTGCTTCCAGGTTCCCCTTGCCTTCTGTGGGGTCATAGGATTCTCCAATTCAGCCTGATTTGGAGCTGAGTGTCTGGGGACAAAGTGGTGAGTGCAACTGTGCAGGAGTTCATTTGTTTCACTGAGCTGCACGAAGCAAGCTCACCCTTTTGTCTGAAAGGTACCTGGCCAGCAAGTGGCCTGATCCTGTACCAGGAGATCCATAGGACAGCATTTGAAAGAAGAAATGAGCAGGTGCCAATGCAAGAATTTCTCCAACAATCTGAAAAACAGCCTGATAACACCAGAACCTAGTGAACATACAAAAGGAATACTTGAACACCATAATCCTGAAGAAGTAGAAGAAGTAAACATTATGAAAGTGATAGAGTCCCTAAAACAGGATGTGAAAAACTCCCTTAAAGAAATGAATGAGAAGAATAACAAAAAATTTGAAGAAATGAATAAATCCCTCAAAGATACCCTAGGAAACCAAGAAAAAGCAATCAAACTGGTAATGGAAACAGTTCAAGACTTGAAAACAGAAATGCAGGCAATGAAGAAAACACAAACTAAGGGACAGTTGGATATGGAAAATCTGGTTAAACAAACAGGGACTACAGAGACAAGCATAACCAAGAAAATACAAGAGATAGAACAAAGAATCTCAGATGCTGAAGACACTATAGAGAAAATAAATACACTGATGAAAGAAAACAGCAAATCCAACAAATTTTCATCACAAAACATCCAAGAAATTAGGGAAACCATAAAAAGACCAAACCTAAGAATAATAGGGGTAGAAGGAGAAGAATTACAGCTCAAAGGCCCAGAAAATATATTCAACAAAATTATAGAAGAAAACTTTCCCAACCTAAAGAAGGATATTCCTATGAAAGTACATGAAGCATACAGAACACTGAATAGACTGGATCAAAAAAAAAAATCATCCCCTCACCATATAATAGTCAAAACACAAAACATACAGAATAAAGAAAGAATATTAAGAGCTGTAAAGGAAAAAGGTCAAGTAACATATAAAGGTAAACCTATCAGAATTACAGCTGACTTCTCTATGGAAACCATGAAAGCCAGAAGGTCTTGGATAAATGTGCTGCACAAACTAAGAGACCACGGATGCAAGCCCAGACTATTAATCTCAGTCAAGCTTTCATTCATTATCAATGGAGAAAACAAGATATTCCAGGATAAAAACAAATTTAAATAATACATAGCCACAAATCCAGTCTTACAGAAAGTAATAAAAGGAAAATCACAACCCAAGGAATCCAACAATGCCCACAATCACTCAGACATCTAGTAACCCTTCAATAGCACAACTCAAAGAAGGGAAACATACAAACTCTACCATCAAAAAAAAATAACCAGAGTTAACAACCACTGGTCTTTAATACCAATGGACTCAATTCACCTATAAAAAGTCACAGGTTAAGAGATAGGATGCAAAAACAGAATTCAACATTCTGCTATTTAGAAGAAACACACCTCAACCACAAAGACAGACATCTACTCAGAGTAAAGGGTTGGGAACATGTTTTTCAATCAAATGGACCTAAGAAACAAGCAGGTGTACTATACTAATATCTACCAAAATTGACTTCAAACTAAAATCAATCAGAAGAGATGGAAATGGACACTTTATACTCAGAACAGAACAATTCATCAAGTTGAAGTGTCAATCATGAATATCTATGCCACCAATATAAAAGCACCCCATTATGTAAAATAAACATTACTAGAACTCAAGGCACATATCAAACCCCACACACTAATAGTAGGAGACTTCAACACCCCCCTTTCACCAATGGACAGGTCAATCAGACAGAAACCTAACAGAGAAATAAGAGAACTAACAGAGATAATGAATCAAATGGACTTAAGAGACATCTATAGAACATTCCACCCAAATAGGAAAGAATATACTTTCTTCTCAGCACCTCATGGAACCTTCTCGAAAATTGATCACATACTCAGTAACAAAGCAAACTTCCACAGATACAAAAAAAAATTATTAGTAACCACCTGTGTCTTATCGGATCACCATGGAATAATGTTAGAAGTTAACAATAATTGTACCCCCAGAAAGCCTACAAACTCATGGAAACTGAACAGTGAACTACTGAACCACCCCTGGGTCAGGGAAGAAATAAAGAAATTAAAGTCTTCCTTGAATTCAATGAAAATAAAGACACAACATACCCAAACCTCTAGGACACTATGAAAGCAGTGCTAAGAGGAAAGTTTATAGCACTAAGTGCCCACATTAAAAAAAACAGAGAAAGCTCACAATAGAGACTTAACAGCACAGCTGAAAGCTCTAGAAAAAAAGAAGCAGACTCACCCAGGAGGAGTAGAAAATTGGAAATAATCAAACTGAGGGCTGAAATCAACAAAATAGAAACACAGAAAACAAACCAAAGAATGAATGAAACAAAGAGCTGGTTCTTTGAGAAAGTCAACAAGATTGATAAACCTTTATCCAAACTAAACAAAAGGCTGAGAGAGAACATGCAAATTAACAAGATCAGAAATGAAAAGGGACACATAACAACATACACTGAGGAAATTTAGAGAATCGTTAGGTCTTACTACAAAAACTTATATGCCACAAAGTTGGAAAATAGACACTGAGGAAATTCAGAGAATCATTAGAACGTACTACAAAAAATTTATATGCCACAAAGATGGAAAATGTAAAAGAAATGGACTTGTTTATAGATAAAAACCATCATCATTTAAAATCAGGGACAGAATATTCAATTTCTAGAATCAAATTTTCTTGTCAATTACATAGGTCCCTTACTTGTTATTGCCATAACAAGTAAGTAGAGCACAGTAGCATAATGCCTAATTAAAACAAAGCAGAAAAGTGTTTGGGTTGAGGCTGGCAACATATATCCAAAGAGTCTGGAATGTTTGGGTGGAAAATTCCGTCACAAGCTCTGTCCCTTGGGAGTTGCCTCAGACTCTGTCTCCAAGAAATTCCACCACTGCCACAGGGTATTTAAACTGCCTCTTAGAGAACAAACACGTGGTTTTCGGGTCTTCCCCACCCCCCATCTCCTCTCTGAGAGTCTGGAAGGACAAAAGGGAGCATTGGTATCCATTAAACCAGGACTTTTTCTAATTTTGTTTGATTCGGTCTGATTTGGATTGGATGAGGTTTATTAGGGTGCAAAAGTTTTCATCTGGAGGTTCCACTGAGGCAGATGTTTTTCCCACCAGTCAAGGACCACTTGTTGGGAAAATACCCTTCTCCTCCATACCTGGTTTCTACCAGGCTAAGATCAGTTTCATCTGGGTAAGTTCCGACTTCCGTGTCATTGCCTCATTTGATTTGGACTGTCCTGTGACATGCCCTACCACGGTCATGCCAGGCTCCCGACCTGACCTGGAAAATAACCTTCTTTGTTCTGGGAAACAAGGATCTGGCTTGTCCTTTTGGGGTTTCTTTATCAGGAGACATCTTTTAAAGGAATTTTTCATGCGCCTTTCCTTTTTGACCCAGTATCTACCACAGTGGACACATTGCACCAGGCTTTGAGTCCTGAGTCCTGGCATGGACTAAAGAAAAAAAAAAATCGAGGCCTGATCTCTAAACACCTTTGGGCAGCCTTTTACAAAATCTTTAAATTGGGGCTAACTGACACCTTTCATCCCTTAATGCCTAAAACCTTTTTGCCAGCATAAAACAAAAAAGCCCCCTATATGCCCTTGGTTTCTGGATGTGGTGCTCCTGTTCCCACTTCCTAACCTCCCCCCCTCACTCCCCCATCCAAGCTGTTTACTGTTTGTCTGCATTCCTTGAATATAATCTGGTCACTCTGGGATTCTCTCTACAATGGATCCATTTCCCCTGTTTTTCCACTTTAAAATTGCATAGGTGTTGCAACCTTATGTTTCTTTTCTCCCTTACAGCATTTACTGATCTGGCCCTTAATGGGATCTCCTGTGTGCTTGCCTGGCTTATGCAGACTACGCTAGGATTTTACGTTGGTTAACTGACAAAAGTTTCCAAAAAATGTTTTCTTTGTCTGTCCGCTAATATAAATGTATAAATAGTGTGGCCACAGTCTTCTTGTTTTGTGTTTGTGTGTATATGTGTGCTTGTTTTAAAATCTATAAAACTTAAAACTCCAGAAAATAACAGCTCTGGAAAAATACAAATATGTGGATAGTCACCATTTTTGGTTGTGGTTAAAGTAAAAACATCAGAACATCTTTGGTAAAAATACCCACATGCCCTAAACTTACCAAGGAGACATTCCACCTCCAATAAACTTTGACTTACTAAAATATTCCTTCTTTTTGCATTGGTAAGCTCTAATTAATCGGGTAAACTTAACCATATGTAAAATTTAACTTATATGTCTAATTTGGATATACCTGACAAGTAATGGTACCCTAATTCTCAAGTTCCTTTATGGATCTAAGAATATGGCATTGAGAGTATGGAATTTAACAAAAAAGCTTTTTATGACAGAGAGACATGCCAGCTACTGCAGCATCCTATAGCTCCTCCAAGAAGATTCATTGTTGCAGCAGACCTTCCACCTGGAGGCTTGCCTTTCGGTATCGAAAAGCCACCCACACAGCAAAAAGCTGCCTTTTACTTCATCAACATCCTGGACACTACACTGGGGGATCAATGATCTCATCCTGCCAAAATATGAGACTCAACCCTACCCCCACAGCAAAATCTTTGGGCCTCCTGGACTCGGCAGCTAATAGCATGTACTGCTTCTAAGACTGGGATCCGCCAAAGACCAGGAAGAGTCTTGAAATTGACTGTGTAGTTGAAAAAAATATTGTCTCATTTCTGCTCATTGATCCCTGTCAGATCTGTCTGATGACATTTGATGACTTAAGGTACTGGCAGTTCATTACTTCATTTGTTAAGTTTCCTGTTAAAAATAAAGACAGATGTTCCTCTTTCACAGGCTTCATAGGACAGGATTATCAGGTTTCAGGTATATCGTCAAAGGTTTAGAGTTTTCAAATTCCTTTATCTGATCTGGTAAAAACTAAGTCTCCAGACCCTATTTCAACCCAACCCATTTTGAAGCATATTTTACAGTTCACTCTTGCTGTCTGGTCCAAGATCAACTTACAAAGGGCCTTCCAGATAACACCAGCACCTTCACCAGTTCCTGGAACTCCACCACCACTCCTGGCTCAAATGGACACCTATTCAACAACTAAAATCTGATTTTAAAGGATGTATATGCTCTCATGTCTCACTTATCCATGCCTTTCCTGTACAACCATTCTTTCGGGCAGTTAATCACCCTTCCCATGGTTAGTGCCACTGAAAGAGCCAGTAATAACAATGTATTTTTTTTCCTAGCCACCTGCCTTCTCATCTCTCTCAAGGAATAGATACCTGAGGTCCCCAGGATGACAGTTTACAAGATGGCTCTCCAGCCACACCTTCTGCTGAGTTTGAGCCCATCATATTCCAACTCTTCCCTCTTCCACATCACCCCATAACTGGAGAAAGTAGCCAGAGTTGAGCCACAATTCCTATACCCAAAGAATCTGGAATGTTTAGGTTAAGGTTTCACTCCAACTCCTGGAATCCATATATCCATGGAGTCTGGAATGTTTGGGTGGAAGGTCCATCCAAGCCCCTGACTGGGATGTACAGCTCTGTGTTTTGTTTAGTTGTGATTTTCTGGATTTTTCTCCATCCATTACAAACTTCTGTGGTTTAAGGATAAATGTTTATAATGTAGTTAACGATTATTTAAAGTGGTGGCTATAGGTTCTTCTCCATGATTCAGGAATCCAGTAGCCTTAGGTAGCTGTTGAGATTTCTAATACCAGGTATACTTTCCTTTTTGTTGAGCAAACTTAAGATAGTGAACCTAGTGATAAAAGAACATGAAAAGAGAATCAAGTAAAGTTTCATTTAGGTAAGTACATCATCAAAATTTGACCTCTTATTTATTTATCAGTTGCCTTTAATCATGTCTTAATAGTCAACTTGGAATTACAGCTCAAATGAAATTTACCAAAGAATTAAAGCAATATGATTTATAGAGGATTAAAAATTAATAACTGGTATAGATGAATTGCAAAAGAACAAAATGCAAACATCTTGAAGTTGGGAAACTAAGATTTAGTGAGATAAAAGAAATATTTTGAATTTACTTTAAAAATAGAAACTCAAATGAGAACATGTCCTCTCCCTTTATTTACCCTCAACAAAATGATAGACGGTTATTGTTGAGAGCCAGACTGATTCAAGTCTTTCTCAGAGGTCCTGAAGAAAGAACAAAGGAAACACTAGTTCTGTGTCTTTATTCAGGAGCAGATTCAGGCTGGATGTGACTGGATTCAGCACCTCTGAGAAATTAAGGTGTGGTTTCTTTTTATATAACTCTTTCACTGGCTTTTAGTTTTAGTCTTAAAGCAGCTGTGTCTGAAGCATACTTGAAGCAGGCTACCTTCACCTTGGACTTTAACACCTTTTTATAGTAAAGACAAACTAGGTACATATCTCCTTATGACTAATCTTCTATTTCTCAAGGACAGATTATACCCCACCTGTCACCTTAACTACAAATTGTTCTGTACTGCTTGTTCCAGGAAGTGTGCCTTTGTTTCAAAAAGTTGTTCTGAACATCTTGCAACCCCACCCTTCTTTCTAATAGTTATTATAGCCACCTAATATTATGACTACTTTATTATGATCACCTGGTTATGCGTATGTTATGCCTTTATTATAAGCCCAACTATTTATGCACCAAATCCTCTCACTTCTGAGCTATAAAAATCTTTTCTTTCTCACATTCAATGTTGATCACTTGAACCCTGTCTTTAGGGGAAACAGCCTGTGTACGTGAATAAAAAAAAATGCTTGTTTTAATTAGTTCCTTAGTTTAATTAATTTGGTCATGGTGGTTTGGTTTGGTAATCTTCCTTCTTGTATCTTTGGGATTAGCATTATTCAGTATTCTCTTAGCCAACAATGTCTGATTTAGTTTTGTGCTTACGTTAGCCATTTCCCGACTGCAAATTGTTGTGAGATGCTGTACTTTTTAAGAAACTTGAGTAGCATAAGTCACCACCTTAACCAAGACCTCCTGGTTCTATTTCCCTGTTTTATTTATCATTTTGTGGTCTCCCCCTTGACACATTGCCATTTGGGACCTTTATTCCTGGAAGTTAGATTCAGAGTCCAGTTCATATAGCATATAGTAAAGCAGCCCAAGCAAGAGCAGTTTCTTGATCAAATGGCTGGTCTCACCACATCAAAAGAAAACTCCACATGGCTTCTTCCATTCCTATAATCCTCTTGAAGTAATTTGTGCTGTCAGGAACAAACGTGTCTCACTGTCAAGGAAAATCTAAGTTCCTAAAATATTTTAAATGCCATATTCTGTAAATTTTTTAAAGTCTTTGAAAGTTGCCTATCTATTTGAAGCATATCTAGAAAATCTAACTAACATGACTATAAGTTTGACTATTATAAATGATTATTTGTATTTTTAACTATAATTTAAATTTTAAATCAGGTGCAAAAACATAATACTTTAACAAGAGTAGAAGTATAAATATGGCATAACAAAATTGACCTGAAATATTTTTATCAATGAACCAAAATCTGTATCAATGTAAAGTATTTTGAGATTAACAGTTGTTTTTTGGACTAAAATAAATTTAATAATCTACCTTTTTAATCATGTCTACATCATAGCCCCCTTTTTTATTTAGAAAGAGTTTTACTATGAACATTAACCATTTGCAACTAACCCCCTTAAATAAAAAAAAATATAAACAATACTTTGGGAAGTTGGGCATAGTTTTCTATACTACTGTCTGCTGATTGGGGGCAATGGTAATCTTATGGGGATCCTGAGAAAATTTAGAATTATAGTTAAATATTGGCTGTAGTAGGCTATGGGGCTGCACAGTCTCAACCAGTTGTTTTGAAGCTCTTCTGGAAGTTGAATCTCCTGGTTCATTGCTCCCATGGAGACCTCTCAGGGTGTCTGACTGGATCAAATTATATTAGCCAGAAAGAATCTACAGCTTCTCATCTTCTGTTGAAAGAAAGGCAGAATTTCTTTTCCAAAGCAATGTATACGTAGACCAAAAATTGAAGTTAAGATACCGTTATATTTGTTTATCTTAGCAGCCTACACAACAAAATGTCTTTCTGCAATTAGGTCATTAACAATTAAGAAACTGAAAAAAAAACCCACAGTAGTGTACATAATCCAGAGGCTCTGTGTATTTTTTTTATCTGTACATGGCCAGTTTCTTTTATATTATTTTTACTGTTTCTATAATGACTTTATTTTATTTTTAAATATTTCTATAATTCTTTATACTCATTTTCTGTTTTTCTTAAGCCTGTGTACATTATTTATACATATTGTGACCCATTTAGATATTAATTTTTTAAAATTTATTTTTTTTCCATTCAAAAATTTACACTTGCTCCCCTCCTCCCATTCCCTTCCGCTCCCCCACTCACCATCCTCCCTCCCTTTCCCTTTTTAAGAGAGGGCAGGGAATCCTGCCCTGTGGGAAGTCCAAGGCCCTCCCCCATTTATCCAGGCCTAGGAAGCTTTGCATCTATATAGACTAGAGTCTCAAAAAGCCAGTACATGCAGTAGAAACAAGTCCCAATGTCTTTATCAATGGCTTCTCAATCAGCCCCCATTTTCAGCTGCAATCAGAGAGTCCGGTTTGATCATTCAGTCCCTGTCCAGCTGGATTTGGTGAGCTCCCATTAGAACAGGCACACTGTCTCAGTGGGTGGACCAACACCTCCCAGTCCAGATTTCCTTGCTCATCTTCTCCCTCCTTCTGCTCTTCAACTGAACCTTGGGGGCAGGTCCAGTAAATATTAATTTTTGACTGAATTTAATTTTATTGTGTATCTGAAATCTTTTTTGATCACTGCTTTAAACTGTAAAATAGGCATGACTAGGACCAGAGTGGCTACTTTGGCTGCTTTTTTCTGATCCACATTGCTTTTCAACATGGCAGAGGTAGCAATGAGTGTCATGCTTATCCCCATCCCCAATGCTGCCATCAGGTAGTGTGCAGAAGGTACTCAAACCTTTTTTGTATCTATGGGCAAAAGTTAATTCTACCACAAACCACAGACTGATTAGCCTCTCTGTATCAAGGCCTCTGTGAGAGTCTAGAAACACGTCACACTGCTTAGCACATGGTGGCAAGTGACCGGCTCCATCTTGCAGGAAATTGTTGGGAGACATACATCTTTGTACTGCTGCTGGCATAAGACTGTGAGACTAAGAAGCTCTATGCAGCTCCATTTCTGTGCATTTATAACTTTTTAAAAAAACTTTCTCAGGCCCTAAAGAAATTTGAGAGCCTCACATTGTTATGCCATCTATAGTTGGGGGTTTCTGGTCCTGTCATATATATATATATATATATGCACATACACACATTTTTATTATAACAACTCCAAGGCTTAATATTAATTATAAGTTCAGGCTTATTATTACCTAGCTCTTAAAATTTAAATTAACACATTTCTATTTGTCTATATTTTACCATGAGGCTCATGGCTTTTACCTCACATTTTGCTTCCCTGGTGGCTGCTGCCATCTCCCTTACTCCACCTTCTTTTTCCCTGTATCTTTGCTTGGATTTCCCACATGGCTCTCTTCTGCCTGGCTATTGGTCCAATCAGCTTCTTTATTAACCAATAGTAATAAAACATATTGACAACATACAGAAAGTCATCCCACATCAGTATCTTCTCTCAGTGTCTCTAGCTCTCATTTCCTCTTCAAGTTAAACACTTTAGTGTTTTACTATAGATCATGTCATTTCAGAGACCAGAAATCTTATTTTAAAATGTGAGTAATGGAAGAGATTACTGGAATTTGGCATTTTTGCTTATAGGTCACTTCCTAGAACTTAAGATTCTCATCAACTGTACAGAAGTCTGAAAGTTATTATTCATATATGGAAGTAGAAGCAAAATAAGACTTAATAAAGAGCTTTTCCATTTCTGTCACACAGATCCACTACACATTTCAGTTCCTTTACTTTTCATTACAATATCCTTAAAGGGAAGACAAGTTGCAATACCTGGAATGAATCCCCAAGGTTACAAACTAGGAAAGAGGACCATTGGTGATGCTCCTCTTGAATGTCACTGTGGCATTTTTAGATGTATCTTGAGAGCCAGGGAGGAGAATCAGAATTGACTTTCTTCCACGCACCAACCAACCAACCCCCCACACAGTGTTTCTCCTTCTACTCTAAGCAATTTTTGTATACTCAGCAAAGCCTTGAACCACAAGTTAAACCAACAACTTGTTGTTGCCCACAAAGAATGAGAGGAAATTTTTCTTTCCCATTAGGATTGCAGTTAAGTTTTGAAGCCAGTTGATGGAGTGTAAAAATCAGATGTAAATCTTCCACTTGACTTTTATTTCATAATAGAATGACTGCAACTGTCTTAAGTATTTCAGAATCTTCATGTGAAAGGAAAGGCAGCATTATTCTAGATGTCAC